TCGAACTCCTGACCTCAGGTGATCTGCCCACCTCGGTCTCCCGAAGTGCTGGGATTACAGGCGTGAACCACCGCGCCCAGCCGGGAGTGCGCTTCTTTTGACAGAGGAACAGACAGAAGGAAACCGGTGGGGTTGGAGCTGCAGTGAGCGAGTGGGCGGGCGGTGGGCGTGAGGGTGGGTGGCAGGCAGCTCTGCATCACATAAGACCGCATATGATGGAGTCCAGATTTTATTCTAGGAATTATGGGCCTCTACTGGAGGGTTTTAAACCAGGAGTGACATGATTTAAATCATGTTTTTTAAAGGTCACTCTGTTAATTTTCATTTAGAAAAACATTGACCGCCCACTTAGAAGATTCACCCAGGGGCCTCACAATGCTCTGCCTGCAGGGGGAACAAAGAAGAGCCAGGCGGAAGCTTTTAAAGTCGTAAGACAATCATCCGCCACCGGGCTCTGAGTCTATTAGCATAATTGGTGAGTCAGGCTTGATTCAACATCAGGAAGAACAGCTGTGAGAAATTCAAGGTCTGGCTTGAATTTCTGGCCGAAAGAACAGCTGCACGGAGTGCCGGCCTTGCAGGGGGCGCTCACGGGCACTGGGCCAGACAGGACGGGGTCTCTGCAGGGGCCCCCACAGAGGTTTTCGGTGAAGGGGCTGACTCCCAGTCTTCACCATGGCCCAGCATTCTCTGGGGTCCTTTAATATTGGCTCAGGAATCTTCTTGAATGTCTAGACAGCAAAACTCGTGGGAATGGGATCTGGGGGCACAGAAGCCAGGAGGAGGCAGTGAAAGGGCACACTGGGGTGCATTGCTTTGCAAGAACAGCATACATCTCCCCAGTTAATGGGAAAGTGTTTCCATGCTGCCTTTGGAACCTCTACTCCTAGTCTCTCTGCTGTGGTTTAGATGAGGACTTGCTCCTCATTCTCCAGGTGCCAGGGCTGGGGTGAGGTACTTGTGACCAGGCCTGGGCCATTCCGTCAACAGATCTGACTATGTTTAGCCAGTAACTCATGCCAGCCAATAGGAGGCAATGGAGGACTTTTTTTGAACGTGTTGGGAGTTAACTGTCTTTGCTCTGCGATTGTTACCTGCACGACTTTAATACCAAGTCTAGAGCTTCCGGAGGCTGCTACGTAGAATGGGCTGTCTGAGAATGAAGACGAATAGGCAAATACAGAGGAAAACAGAGAGAAGAGACAGGGAGCCCCTGGACCAATCATCCCGGACAGACGTTGGATGCACCACTGCTTTTTCCATCCTAGAAAGTAACACATCCTCTTCCTCACTCCTGCTGTTTTTCCCTTAAGCCCACTTTAGTTTTTAAATCACTTGCAATGAAAGGATTCTCTTTAAAGCAAACAGGAAGACAGAACAACTTCTCTGCCGTGGGGACTTCTTTCTCCCTGGAGTGTATGGGAATGCGTCCCCCAGGAAGATATGTTGAAGTCTTACCTCTTAGTCCCTGTGAATGTGACCTTATCTGGAAATAGGGTCTTTGCAGATGTCATCAAGGTAAGATGAAGTCATATGAATTAGGGTATATCCAAATCCAGCGACTGAATTGCTTAAGAGAAGAAAACTTGGACGCAAAGACTCATAGGGAGATAGGGTCACGTGATGACAGAGGCAGGGACTAGAGTGATGTGTGCACCAGCCAGGAGACCCCAGATTGCCATGAGCCGCCCAAAGCCGGAAGAGGAGGCATGGGGCTGATTTGACCTCATAACACCTGGAAGGAACCACCTCTGCCAACATCGTGACTATGGACTTTGGAGAATAAATTCTGGTTGCTGTGAGCAGCCCTGTTTGCTTTGTTATGTGATTTGTTATGATGGCCCCAGGAAACCAATATATCTCCCACAACACAGGTAGCCTTTGTGCTAAGGACAGACCCTGCATTCTCCTATCTCTGACTTTCTGATGAACAGATCAGCATGTTTTCCCATATACACATATCGTTTGGGGTCAGATGTGGGGAAGGCGTGTCACAGTGTGCTTGAGAAGAAGGACCTGTTGGCCAGGCAGAGATTCTGCCGATCCAAGTCACGCTTGCATTGGGCCTCTGGCCTGTAGCACTTCTCACCTCTGCCTCCCCTCTCCACCCGCCGGAGCAGTCATCCACAGTAATCACCGGCTCAGAGGATGCCAGTCTCCACTGGGGGACACCCTGGGCTCACCCATCTTCCTGCCAGAGCATCATTTGCTGCTGCAAGGGCAAAACAAAGGGTGGCAAGGAGCTAATGACTGCACCTTGGGAAGTGCCAATTGGGTAATTAATTCACAGTTCTGAGCTTTCCCAGAAGAAAAAGATAAATTGTTTACTTACACTCCCAGGATGTCCTTAGCAGAGACTCATTTGTAAAACGGGTGTGAAACCGAGGGTAGGGCGAGGCTCTGAGGGGTAAGACACATTCCTGGAAGGCCAGTGGGCCCCACCAACCCAGTGCCAGGGCCGTCACAACTGGCTGCCCTCGGCTTGTGCACAGGCTTAGCTGCCTAGGACCTTAGGACCAGTGGTTGGTGTTATGGATTGAACTGTGTCTCCCCCACCCCAAATTCATAGTGGAAGTCCTAATGCCCAGTATCAGAAGATGACTTTGTTTGGAAATAGGGTCACTGCAGATGTAATTAGCTGAGATGAGGTCATATGGGAGTACAGTGGGCTCTAGTTTCCTTGGGGAAATTTGGAGCTGGGCATGGTGGCTTATCCTGTAATCCCAGCACTTTGGGAGACCAAGGCAGGATGATTGCTTGAGGCCAGGAGTTTGAGACCAACCTGGGCAACATAGTGAGACTCGATATTTACAAAAAATTAAAAAAAAAATAGCTAGGTGTGGTGGTGTGTGTCTGTAGTCCCAGCTACTTGAGAGGCTAGGGTGGGAGGACTGCTTGAGCCCAGGAGGTTGAGGCAGCAGTGAGAGTTGATCACACAACTGTACTCCAGCCTGGGTAGCAAAGTGAGATCCCCGGCTCACAAAAAGGAGGACATTTGGACATGGACACACACACAGGGAGTCACATGAAGCTGAAGGCAGAGAGTAGAGTGATGCTTCTACAAGCCAAGGACTACTAAGGATGCCAGCAACCGCAGGAGCTGGGAGGGACCTGCAGGAGTTCCCCCAGAAACCCTCTGAGGCAACCAGCTCTGCCTACACACTGAGCTCAGACTTCAAGCTTCCAGAAAAGTGAGGCAATACATTTGTTATTTAAGCTGCCCAGTTTGTGGTACTTAGTTATGGTAAAGTACCTGTAGCCGCAGTCCAGGGAGGGAACTGAGAAGCCGCGAGGGACAGACCCCCACAGAGATGCTGATGAGGCCGGCAGCCCTCCAGCTTCCAGCACCATCTTCCTTGGGAGTTTGGGAACCTCAGTGCCTCCAGGGGCCCCGCAGGTGGCGTCAGAGAGCGAACCAGCCAGGTGCGAGAGAAACCACCCCGCATCACTTATTTATTCACACTCGAAAAGACACCTCGTGGACATTTCAGTTCAGATTTTCCTATCAGTTCTTTCTTGGATTCTGGGCACACAGATCGCATGACGGTTTGCATCGTAATGGCATCTTCAGTTGTGTTCTGTGGACAATGACATTCTATATTTGCCTAGGAGACACACAGGAATTTTCTTCCCTTTCATAAAGCAATGAGCTCTTTCTGAATGATCTTGAAAACACATGGCTCCTTCCCTCTCTGTTTCCCCCACTTTTGGGTAGAGCCGTAACTTGGGAGAAACACCTATTAGAAGAGTGGTGAGATGGAGCATAAATGGAGTTGGTCAACTCTGGGTCCATAAGACATCATGGGTGGAGAGGACTCGAACCTCAGTGCCACTCTGCCCCACTGGGGCCAAGTCAGATTGGCAGCTCCATTTTGCCAGTGTCTGAATTCTCAAGCGATGCTAGAAATCTAGATTTCTAAGGTGAAATTATCAAAGTTTTGAATGTTGCCTCAATTTTCTCCATTCTGCAACCAGTTTCATTGTCTTTTGCAAAACTTATGACTGGCTGGGTTCCGTGGCTTACACCTGTAATCCCAGCACTTTGGGAGGCCGAGGTGGGAGGATTGCTTGAGCCCAGGAGTTCAAGATCAGCCTGGGCAACACAGCAAGACCCCCAATAGCTACAAAAATTACAAAAGTTCACTGAGTGTGGTGGCATGTGCCTGTAGTCCCAGCTACTCGGGAGGCTGAGGTGGGAGGATCACTTCAGTGCTTAGGAGGCAGAGGTTGTAGTGAGCTGAGATTGTGCCACTGCACTCCAGCCTGGGCGACAAGACAGAGCAAGACCCTGTCTCAAAAACAAAAACCCCAGACTATCTGAAATTATTTTGTGTGCTGTTTATTCCCCCCACCCAAATAGATGTAAGTAAGGTTTTTGAAAGTGCATGTGCGTTTGCTGTATGTATGACTCTGTCTCTAGTGCTCGCAGCTATTCCTGGTACAGAGTAGCTGCTCAGTAAATACTGGCTGAGTAAAAGATTGATCTATCACTTGCTATTGTTTGCATGAATATAAGGATTCCATGCAACTTCTTGTTATGTAGAATTGTCTTGGGGCTGCAGTTGATAAAGGAATCTACAATCAATTTTTTAACCCAGCCCAGAGTTACTGTGTGTATGTACACTCAAGACCCAAAGGAAGGACGGAAAATTTTCCTCACTCCAGCCCAAAAGAAGGCTGGAATACATGCTTGCCTGCCAGTTTCCACTTACCACTATCAGTCAGTAGGCTTTTAGGAGAGGACTGCACGTGTGATTTATTTGCAAATCCTTTCAGGTCCTGAAGGAGAGACACTTAGTACACAATGCACTTTGTCATCACGTGTCAACATCCCCTCGATGCAGAGAGCAGCACTACACGATGTAAGGGTGTAATTGGATTGTACTGGGATCCTTAAATCTGCATTTGATTTAGAGCCACAGCTTTTGCAGAGCCATTTGCGATTGATGCAAGCCCCTTGGAGGGGGTCAGCATGGAGAAGGACAAAGGACAGCCATAAAGCCACTGAATGCAAACTTTATATTTACAGTCAGTAAGTTTATAAATATATATTACATTCTTACAATCTACAGTACATTCTACACGTAGATGGATTTGGGAGTGGGCAGTGGCTGCAGTACTCAACAGAACATGACACAGGTAAGAATGGAAAGAAATATGAGGACATTACTGAAAGCAAAGGGTTCTCATCAAAAGGGGTGACAGCTTAATCACCCAACCAAACAAGGTAGGTAAGCTTGCGGACAAGAGCAGGTGACTTACTGGCTGCAGAAACCCCAGTCTCAAGAGCAAACTGATAGCACCACAGTTGCAGGGGAGAGGGCTAAGGTTGGAAGGGTAAACTGGTGAAATTTACACACACATGATCTAAAGAGAATTCAATTCTACGGAGAGGGAGAAGGCGTAAAGACACACACTCAAAATTAGAGACAGAGAGGAAGCAGGGAGATAGGTTCAAAGGAGGAGAGAGAGAGACACACACAAACAGACTGGAAAACAGACATCGAAAGAGCAGAGAGAAAGAAAATGACAAAGAGTGAAAAATGGAATGGATTCAACAGCACGGCCTCTTCTGCCCTCCACCCGCTGCCCCCTACCATCTTTCTCAGGATCCTATCTGGCTGGCACCCAACACACCATTCTCTACCTTGGAGTGAGCGTGATATGGGGCAGGAATTCGCTGATGTCTCCTTCTCCCCATCTTCATAGGCTCCATAAGTGAGGGGATTCAGGGATATCCTGAGTCATGCTGATCTCAAGCAATGCAAAACCTTTTGGGGCTGACTGCAGGACCAAGTGCTTGCAGACCTGCATCTCCACCACACGCAGACGCCCCTCATCCCTTCACACCTCCAAGGCGAAGAAGGCTTCTGTGCTGTCCGGTGTGTGCGAGGCCAGGCTTCCTGCTGGACCCACCGCATTCACACCCAGAACCCCCCAACTCCACACGTCCTGCACATTCCACACAGGCACCCAGATTTGTCTCAACAGCCTCGAGGGCACATTCTTGGACAGGAGATCTGCCATGAACAGTGAAAGACCTGTCCCAAGTGGCCCTGTTTTCTTTCTAGAAAAGCAAGGGAGTGTCTATCCCCTGGGGTGGAATTCACTGTGAGTACCGCCCATGCCCAGAGACCAGCCTCTTCAAAGACGGACAGCGTGGGACATACGCCCAGGTCTGTGGGGGGAGCTTCTTTATAGAATGTCACTTGGGAGTTGACACAAAACCCAGAGGGAGAAAAAAGACTCAGCTAACACTAGAAACTGCCCTCTCCCTCCCCCACCCACGGGTGACCAGCTGCTCTGGGGAGGGTGGCAATGCAGTGGAGGAATAGAAATGGATACATTGTGAACTTGATAGGAATCAAAAGAGCCTGGTTCTTTGAACCTGATTCAAATTCTATGCCCAGTATCCTTAGTTTACAAATAAAGAAGTGCCCTGAAGGGCTCAGAGGATTTGTGTCCGTGTATTTGTCCTTGGCATGTAGTTACAAAGGTATTTGTGGCCTGTTAGCCCACATGTTCCCTTTCAGTCCTTGTCAGCCACTGCCTTGGCCTGCCCATGATCTGAGCCAGCTCTGGCCCAGCCTTTGAGAGACAATGACTCCCAGTCATGCCTCCCCCAGCGGACGGCGGCACTGGACCGCCCGTGATCTCGCTCACAGCGAGATGTGCTGCTCCGGTTTCGAGGACAGCTTCCTCCCATTGATCCATGGATGCTCCACCTGAGTTGCGCTTTTCTCCCGTAGTCTGCAATATCGAATATTGGAGCCATGTGGATTTTACAATATCCAAACTGCTTTGATTCGAGAGAGAGAGAGAGGCTGTTCTTTCCTGGAAACTCAGATGCTCAGTGATTCCAAACTCGTTTTTGTTTCAAGTCTGAAAAATCTTGCCATGCATGATAAACCTCTTAAGCAAGACACTGTACTCTGGAATGTGTGCGTCGATGCGGACTCCAGGCCTCGCTGCTGAACCGGGGTCACTGGCTGAGGCTCCATGGACAGCGTCATCCTTATTTTGTCCTGTTGCTTTGTTTCTCTTCCGGGGGCACCGTTGCTACACATCCTGGAATTAAAGGCTGAAAGGTGAGTGAGAACCAATGTCTGCGTGTGTCTGGCTTACACATTTTCATGTAATCTCTCCATGTAGTTGTGCAGCTCTTTGCAGTCCCCAGGGTCCAGATCCTGGCAGACCCACTTAATGTCATCCTCGCTACTCATCACGATGGAGTTCCTGGTGGGGTACTCGTCGTCGGAGGAGACGGCGGTGAAGGTGGTAAATTTCACCCTTTTCCTTTTTGAGGTAGGGGATGTTGGGGGATCACTTTTCTGGTCTTTCCCATCGATGATGATGGGTCCTAAAGGTTTGAACAGCTGCCCATTGATGCTTTTTTGGGAGTTTGTGCTGAGGAGATATTTACTTTCCTCGAAATCCATACCCCTGTCAATGGCAGTGATTTGCTCATCTTGTGAGGAGGCAAAGTTGATGTGATTCTCCAACAGCTCTGTCCGGTTGCTTAACCCAACCCAGTCATGAGAGTGACTCATCCCTTCCTGCTCCTCGAAGGGAACCTGTTTGTGTCTGTATTTTAAAGCAAAGGTCACACAATTTATCAAGAAGACCAAAATGGCCAAACAGAAGACACCCAACAAAGCATACATCCCAATTTCTAAGTCGCTCAGCCCTTTGGATGCCTGCATAAGGTCATTCCCATCCATTTCCGCATTGCTTCTGGGGAGGTCCACCTGGGCTGGGAAGCTGGTGAGGTCACTGGGGACAGTCTGCAAGTGGCTGTCGTTATCGAAGAGGTTTTCCTGGCCTTTCTTCTTCTGCAGGATGGACCTGTCTGTCGTGGTGCCCCGTCCCTCCATGAGTCCCATGGAAGAACTGCCATAGTACTGTCCTTCCTGACTCCCCCATTCCTGCAAGGGTTTTTTGGGCCTTCTGTCACTGACATTGTTTTCCAGGTGAACCCCTGCCCCTGTGTGTCTGCTGTCACTGGTGTTGGGGTTAGCATCATTTTGGCCAAATTTAACTTTGATGTTTGCTGTTCCAACAGCTAACACACTCTTCCGCTTGGATTTCTGGCAGGATTCACTAATAACCATTTCCACCTTGACCAGGGCGCCTTGTCCTTCGGTTTCTGCAGCAATGATGGGCCACTTGAATTTGGGGTCTTGGTGGATGGAGACCACCTTCTCATCCAAAGATGTGGCCATCAAGGAGAAGTCTTTCCCATCATAAATATCCAAGGGTGTGACTGAGCCATCACTGAACTGGACCCAGCAACTGATGGCTGCTTCCTATTGAGAAAAATATGTAAGTTAATTAAAATGGGCCAAAAGGCTCATTGAGCCCCAAGTCTTAGTAAAGTAGACACACTATGGAAAAATACTGCTACGAGAACAAAGACAAGCCTTTCAAACAGTGTAGAAATAAGCGATAAGAAGTACCAAGAGTATAAAAGAAAACGAATTCTCACAGAGATGCAAAAAAAGCAAAATAAAACAACGAAATGACAAAAGAGGGTCGGTATTAAACAATCCATAAGAAGATTTTGCTTTTTTTTTTTTTTTCCTCCCGTAGGTGTTAAAAGGAAGATGGGCCCTTGGGCTGTTCAGAATCGACTTCTGAACAATAATAAATTGCACGACAAAGGAAATTACTGGTGAGTGGAGTCATTTACAAGTGTTACGCATTCAAATGAAAAATATTTATTACATTATTTATAAGTTGTAATACTGAGTCTCCACTGATTACTGGCAACACAGATAAAAGCGTCTGATCTAGATGAGATCCCACTGCAGGGCTGCAGGCTGTGGTTTGGCCAGCCCTGCCTTTTCTGAGCCTGCAGGAGTAGATCTGTCCTGACCTCAGGACATAGTCTTGGCTTGAAGGGAGTAGTTAGGCCTGACAGCAGGAGAGGGAAAGCATCTTGATTGGAGAGTCTTCGTCTCTTTCTTCACCCAGCCCAACTGGAGGAAACTGGAAGACCAAAAAGCAGCCAGAGCCAGGGTTTGTGCACCTCTCAGTCTCTTGCTGTTTTCACTCTGTTGATTTAGACCAACTTTCTTTGCAAATAGTTTGACCGGGCAGATCATTGGAGATAACCTCCAATTTCATGCCAGCCTTTAATTTTGGTGAAGATGTCATTATGCTTGACAGCGCAGCGGCAGATCCATTGCTTCCTCCCTCCTCCCTCCCTCTCGGAGAACCTGCTCCGCTCCAAGCCCGAGATGATGAACAGCACTAGGCGGCCCCTGACCCTGCCCGCTGGGCCACAGCAACAGCTGATTGGAACGAGACAGCTGCTGCCATTGGAGCCATCAATCTCAGCAACGCTGAGCCAGCCAGCATCACTCTCACCCTCTGTCTCTCTCTTCTCTTTCTCTTTCTGTCTCAAACTTGAAACCAGAAAGACAAGACTGGCAAAGTCAGGTTGAGAAGCTGTGTAGTGGGGGCTCATATAAAATTGGGAATGAAGCCCTCTGACGGACTACGTGTAAGCAAATGTTTGGGCATGGCATTTATCCATAGGAAGACAATAATGAGTTAGACCAAAGTAAAAACACAGGTGAGAGAGAGAGAGTGGGCATGAGAGTGTTGACCTTCCCTTTCCTCCAAGGTCTTGCAGCTGGGTTCTGTGAGATCCCTCCAATCCTCATAACACATCCTTTGTTATTTAAGCTTTTCCTTGGGTGGACTTTTTTCTCTTACAACCCACTGGCCCCTGACCATGACAGAAGTAATTTTACACAGTTGTTATTTAGTCGTTGGAAGTAAGAAGAAAGGCTCCTCAAATGTGGCTGGTGGCCTCTGCTCCTTCCTTCAGCTCAGCCAAGAAATACTTACGCTGTTAGACATTGGCTTGGACTCCCTGCTAAGTGGAGAACCTTGCCAAGGCACAGTGCAAAAGCTACTGGACATGACACTGACTTACCAGGTTCTCTCAATCTGCCACGAAATCTGAGCAGAGTATTCAAATGCACAACGGAGTTCTTGAAACTACCACTGTCAGAGCCAAGTTGCAGGCAGGGAGTGAGAGCCCTGCAAACCACCTATGGAGCAAATCTCAGGGTAGCATGTTTAGCTCTGCATGTCAGGAACGGATTAGCTTTCTGGCCTTCTTCTAGCTGCATCTTATCCCTTCCTTAACACCTAGCTGGTGGTCAGCTGATGTTATCACCCACAAAGACAGGGAAAAGCCTCAGGTTATTTCTTCATTGCCATCTGTAACTTGCCTCTCGGCTGGCATTCTTCCTTGAGAAAAGGAGGTTTGCTTTGCCCAAAAATTCAATTCTATTATTGGGAGCATCCACTTTCAAGTGTTTTCTAATCCAAAACTCTGCAAACAAAGACTGTAGTATAAGGACTAGGAGATTAGCTCATGCCTGAGAGGGGAGCATTACATGACAGGTGCAGGCTGGGAAAGTGGGAAGGCGCTTTGTGCCTCTTGGCAAGTCCAGTGTGGCACTCCTGCCTCCTCTGAACATGGTCACAGCCGCTGCTGGTGCACGAAGGCAGGGCAGGCCTGGTAGCTCATCCTGCTGAGGGAGAGTGTGCAGAAAAGGCTCTGGATCCAGAAGGGAAGCAGTCAGAACAATAGCCCATTTGGGCTGGAGGGATTCCAGCTGCCCACATGAAGATGATCCCTTTTCATGGGGCACAAAGAACTAATGACCTGCAACCACCATGTTTTGTTGTTAAGCGAGCTTCACCCAAATTCCTATGTTCTAAGAAATAATGTTTATCTACCTCTAATGAGGGAGAACATACTACTTTCAAAGGTCCCCTATAACAGTCCCCTTTGTAAGCCATTGTATCCACATACAAACACATGCACCACACACATACAACACACAATACATTCACAACACATACACATATACATGTACACAGGTGCCTATACAACACAAACATACAACACAAAATACACAAGACAGACATGCATATACACACACGCATAAAGCAAAAACATACATACATGACACACATACCCACAGCACACACATATATGTATACACACGACATACATAGATACATGTAATGCATACATACATACAACACAATATATTCACAACACATATACATGCATACAGGTGCCTATATAACACAAGCACACATGCAACACACAACACAAAACAAGCAACACAAAATACGGACATAAGACACACATATGCATACACATAGACACACAAAGCAAAAACATATGTACACAACACATATAGACACAACACATGTATACATATGCACACACACAACACATAAACACATGCAATACACACATACAACACACAGAAACACACAACACACTCTATTAGCTCACACTGGTTCCAAATAAAGTAAAAGAAAATTGTGACTGACATCCCCACGAATTCTCTGTTTCTGCCTTGAGCTGAACAATGAATGGTCTGGAAGCGATGTCCCGCCACGGGCTCCCCACTCAGCAGGTCTGTCACGCTCTGCTCCATCAGGACCTTGGCAGCAGGCTGTGCACCTGCTCTGAGCCTGCACGTGCCCTTATGCCCTCATGGAAGCAGGAAGGATGTGGAGAGCACAGGTGACCACCTGCATGCACCTGCACTGTGGTGGATAAGGGGCGGGCCTTTCCTCCAGGGCTCCTGCCCCTTAGTGGCTTCTCATTTTTACATGTTGCAATCCTTATGTATATTTGTATTTATTTTTTTCATCTCTGCATGAGGGGGCTGGGAAACATGAGGCAGAGCAGTCACCTGCTTCATAAGAGCCCTTTGCAGACGGAGAAACACCTGATATGTGATCCTACTCTATTGTGCCACCTGCCTGGCATGGGACCCGCCTGGCGTGGTGCCTGCCTGGTGTGTGATCCACTGGGTGTGGGACCCCTGCTGAAGTGTGTCTCAAACCCTCCTCCATACCTGTTTTGGCCTCTGCAGAAGTTCCTGAGCCACTGCAGTGGCAAAGATGGCTCTGTTGCTTCCTGGGCTGAGCTGCAAGGAGAGCGACAGCCCTGTCACCAGCTGCACCCCGAGGTCTGTGATGGTCACCTTCTCGTCCAGCACGGTGATGGTCTTTTCAGCGAGGATGGTGTCTGACAGAGGAGACAGGATCTGGAGGGCGGAAGCGACATGACAAGGAAAGGCTTTCTGTGGTCCAGGCACTGCCTCCAGTTGCAGGAGGAAGTGCCAGGTGTTCAGGCAGTGACAGGGCAACGTGTGAGCCAGAAAGAATGAGAACAGGTCTTTCCCACTCACACCGCCTTCAAAATCACATATTTTGCTTGAGAAAATGAAAGGATTTTTTGCGTAAAGCAAGGTGGTGTCAAGTAGTTGGCAGGCAGGGCTCGGCCCCTCCCCACACTCCACACATCAGCTCCATTTCCCACCATGCTCCATCCTGGACAGGAGGAACTGACATTTTCATTCGACTATTAACTTTATGATTTTTCTACATCACAGATCGTCTCTTTACTCTTTAGTGTGTATTTTGTTTAAAAGTATTTATTTTACTAAAATTTGTTTTTTCAAAAGCCTTTCTATCACCAGCGAACAATGGGTTGGGTGTACTGGTTACATATTGACGGCTTTCTCTCTTGCACACGAAAACCAATGTGCAACTGGAAGGTGGATCCTGCTGGTCCATCTCAATCATGTGTGTCACTGGAGGCCACACTGTACACTTTGGGAAACACAGCGTATGATGCCTGATGATGTGGAATATCGTCGGGCATATTCTGATAAACGTAGGTTCTGAGTGTCTATGCCTGACGCCAACAACCCAAAGCCTCATTTCTCCTGTGGACACCTGGAATGACCTGGAAAATGAGGCTTATGTGCAGTTTAGACCCTGGACAGGAAATCCTGCTTTTTTTTTAAATTTTATTTTTTTATTTTTTTATTTTTAGTAGAGACAGGGTTTCACCGTGTTAGCCAGGATGGTCTCGATCTCCTGACTTCGTGATCCACCTGCCTCGGCCTCCCAAAGTGCTGGGATTAATCCTGCTTTTGAGGAACGTCTGTGGAATCACCTCTTCCTCCTCTCACCCTTCGTCCCAACGATAAAGAGCTGTCTCAGATGCCTCGCGGCCCGGTGTAACGCAACCTTCTGGAAGAGAAGGGGCTTCATTCTCTGTTCTCCTGCTTTCTCGACCTCTTTCTCTTTTCAAGTTTTTGGTGATATTTATGATGTATGTCAAGACAGCAGTTTTCCTAGGACCCTTTTAAGACCAGGAATCAAAGCTCCATACTTCTATCCGAGCACCACCTTCACTTTCCGGTCCGACTGGGGCAATTTAAATGGCAGCGAGCAGGAGAGATGCGTCCCCAGAAGAAAGTGGACTAGTGAATTTATGACTCCGGAGGACGCAGTGAGAAAAAAGAAAAAAAGAACCAAGGCTCGCAGGAGTAGATGCCTCACCAAAATAATGTTCACGTTTAACGTGTGCGAAGCTGGCCCACTTCCTCTTCCCCGACACCTGATTTCAGAACGGTATGTCTTTTCCCCTTTGCACTTCAATTGTCACTTAAGGGAAGATAATACCAAATTCTCATCTCACTGTGAGTTTCTGGACATCAGTTTCAGTTTAGCCTATAGATTTATGATAGGGATTCAGGTCTTTCAACTTCTTAGTCAATTATGGAGGTTGCAAGCTCTCATCTATGAGGCAGATATGTTTTGTCTGACATAAGTCATATTTTAAGGTAGAATTAATGATCATCATTTAGAGAGCTGGAAGATTTCATATAAAAACATAGACTTCCAGCTTTTCTAGAAAATTGGAACATATGGCCGCAGTGGACTTGCATTTCTTCTTGGCAGCTTTTGGCTGTAAGAGCTTGCCCCTTTTCCACAGGCCCCACCACTCCCTGTTGTCTCTCTAACCCTCAGAGGAAAATCAGCTGCTGTCTTTCAGCACACACCCAGCCTACTCTCCTCACTGACGGTAGCTTCTCAGCTTTTAGAGATCATTAGAGCGTGTGACTCCTGGTCTACAGCCCAAACCCATTTATTTTCCTCCTTGGATAAAATGAAGTTTTTAGATATACCAGCCAATTTTCTAGAATGGATATGTTTTAAATCTTCCATGATCCAATCTAGTCTCAGTTATGATGATTCCTCATGCACAGCTGTTTTCGAAGCCTCACAGATTGCCTGATAAGACAATCGCGTTGCCTGCAGAGGGGGCAGCTGCTGGGGAATACACTTTTCCTTTGGCTACGATGTACACTATTTGGGTGATGGCTACGCTAACAAGGCAGACACGCAATATGTCCAGGTAACAAAACTGCACTTGCACCCCTTACATGTATACAGAAAGAAAACAAACTCCTGCTTTGTTCTCAGCTGGGAGGTAAATGACCAAACCCTTACAAGCCTCCCAGAACACTGTTTTGTAAAAGTGTTTGTTTCAAAACCTGAGTGTTGTGGCTGGTCCTCTCCATCACCCGCTCCCCAGCAGAAGGGGCCCACGAGACAAATGGAGGCATAATAACTTCGTTCCTTCCTTCAGCACATGTCTGAGTTATTCAGGTTCTCATCAGGCTGCCGGCTGTGACTCGGTAGAGGCGGCCACAATATCCTGAAGCCATGGGAAGGTTTAGGTGACCACGCTCGGCGGCGGAAAGTGGCTCAGCAGGAAGTTGCTGGCCGTGCCTGTGATTCAGATCACAGGAGCTCACCTCAAAAGCTTGTTTACCAAGATGGTAATGCCCACCATGGCTTGGGCAAAATAGTGTGTTTCAAGCATGACCCACCGTGGGAGTCAGCCCAGAGTTTCTCACCTAGAAGTAATATGGGAGGAATTTCGAGATTCTCATCACATCATTACATGACTTGTATTGTGGTTTTGTTTGAGACGGGATCTCGTTTCATCACCCAGGTTGGAGTGCAGTGGCACGATCTCAGCTCACTGCAACCTCTGCTTCCCAGGCCCAAGCAATCCTCCCACCTCAGCCTCCAGGAGCTGGGACCACAGGCACGCACCACCACACTCGGGTAAATTTTTGTATTTTTGGTAGAGATGGGGTTTTGCCATGTTACCCAGGCTAATCTCAAACTACTGAGCTCAGGTGATCTGCCCGCCTCGGCCTCCCAAAGTGCTGGGATTACGAGCGTGAGCCACTGCACCCAGCCAACATCACTTGTATTGTTTACTTGACAATTTCTTTGAATTTAGCCATCCTAAAAATAGATATCATTCCCAGCAACGACAAACAGCTGGTTTCTCCTCTGGGCGGAGCAGAGGTGGGAAGACAGATCTTGCTTTGGGGATTTTTATTTTTTTACCTGAATGGTGGTCATCCCAAGTTCCTGTCCCATCAGGATCTGTCCACCTTGCAGCTTGGCGATCCTGGGCTCCTCCACCTGCATGAAGTCATTTATCAGCTCTGTGATGTCCACTTGCCAGTCTGAGCCCAGCAGGTGGGCCAGGTGTCCCCCAGGGCCGGCCGCCTCAGCCACAAACTGCGTCAGGACCCGCACCATGGCATGCTGGTACTGCAGGGTGCAGCCGCGGCCCCTCCGCTCATCGTCTTCCTCTTCCTCACTGTCCCCAGCAGGCCTGTGAAAGAGGCAGTACAGTTTGCAGACAGTTACTTGTTGGTTCTCTGTAAGGGGCTGTGTGTGGAGCCTGGTGGGGGCTGCAGAGGTAAGGAGACCATGCGACTTCAAGGAGTTTACATCCAGACATGCAGAGGTGAACCTGACATACTAACTACTGCTCTGGCATGACCAGTCCCATCAGCAAGGCCGGTGCAGCCAGCAGAATGTAAGGTGTTCCCAGTGGCCCCCACCTCCTGGTGTCTACTTTGTGTAAACCTCTCCCCTTGAGTGTGGGCTGGACCTAGTTTCTTTCGTCCAATGAAAAAGTTAGGGCAAAAGTGATTGGATGGTCACTTTCTTGGCTAGACTTGAAAAGCCTGTGACTTCTGTCTTGCTTGTGTTTTCTTTCCTTGGTTCTTTGCACTTGCTCACTCTGATGAAGCGAGCTGCATGCTGTGAGCCAAGCTGTAGAGATTTCCAGCCAGCTAGAAACTGAGAGTGAACTCTGGCCAGCACCAGCGAGGAAATGAGACCAGCCAGCACCCGCGCGAGTGAGCCTGCACTTAGATCCTTCCCCACGTGAGCCTTGAGACGGGACCCCAGGCCCACTGACACCTGGGCTGCAGCCTGTAAGAGCCCCTGCTCAGAAGACCCAGCTCAGCCATGCCTGGATTCCAGATCCACGGAAACTGTTCAATAAACATGCTGTTCTTTCTCTTTTTGAGATAGGGTCTTGCTCTGTCATCCAGGCTGGAGTGCAGTGGTGCAATTTCAGCTCACTGCAGCCTTGAACTCCTGGACTCAAGCTATCCTTCCACTCCAGCCTCCTGAATAGCTTGGACTATGGTGCAAGCCACCATGCCCGGCTAATTTTTAAAATTTTGTGTAGAGATGTGGTCTCGCTATGTTGCCCAGGCTGGTCTCAAACTCCTGGGCTTAAGCCATCCGCCTGCCTCGGCCTCCCAAAGTGCTGGGACTTACAGGCCTGAGTCACCGTGCCTGGCCGGCATGTTGTTCTTGTAAGCCACGTTAACTTTGGGGATAATTTTTAACCCACTAAGCTTTGGGATAAGCCACTATGTTAGGCAGAATGGATAGAGCTAACACGACAAGGCCAGGGATGAATGGTGTGGTTCTGTAACCCAGCACACAAAGCAGGTGAATATGTAACCCAAGGTGAGGTCAAATGTGATAAGAAAGGCAGAGAGGGCCAGGATGCTTGGAAGGAGACAGATGTCAGCTGCTCCCTCAACATCTGGTCCCTTCTGTGCAGTCGGCCCTTTGATGGCACCGTCTCGGTCTCCATCAGAACAGCAGCTGTTCCCTCTCACACTCACCCCGCTGCCATGTCTGAACCAGGCAGCTGTGACAGCGTATGGGATGTACTGCGGTGAGACTCAACCAGGTCTCTGGTGAATCTTCCCCTACAGTTTCTTCCCTCTGCAGCACCAACCGTCACCCTCTAATCCACGCCCTCAACTCAACACCAGAAACCCCAGCGACTGAGAAAGAATCATTGCTGAAGCCAGTTCCCAACTGTCCCTGAGACCCACAGCCTTCGTCCTTGAAGCATCCCCTCTCCCAGGGGTCATGGGACCAAACGAATGAGTTTGCAAGGGAGGGAATATAAGTTATCCCTCAGATGACCACCAATTCTCCACCCCCTGCCGAGTACACAGACTCCAGGCATATTTCCTTGTCTCATAGCGCATATACTTTTAGCAATCAACATGTCGTTATACCTGAATTCTTATACACGGTTTCTCTGAGATGACAAAGTCTGTGAGTGAAGAGCCTGAGCTCCTACCACTGTCTTTACATGGTACTCACGTGGTTCCCAATGGTAGATGGTGGAGACTCCTGGGGCTCTACCAAGCACCATTGGAGTAATGTATCAGACACTCAGTGGACAAGCCTCAGACCTCATTTCACCAAGGCAGAGAGCTCAGAGCTTCTGGACTGGAGCACAGAGAGGCAGCTCAGGTCAGGCTGACCCTGTCAGATGTCCTTCCAGGGAACATCTGCTGCCGCCTTCTTTCCAGCATCAATTTTCCCTCCTCCTAGAATTTGTCCATTCATTCAGCCTTGGTGCACCTCTTCATCTAGCTCCTCTGGCTCTAGTTAGGGGAGTCTAGCTACTCAGTATGTTCCAGGGCCTTGGCTACAGTAACTAGATAAGGGAGGCCACAAAAGTCCCAGTGAGGCTAAGACTTAAATCCAGGACTTTGCTGGAACTAGTGGGAAGGAGAGGAGGCACTTCCTGCTGGAGTTGCAGAGAAGAAAGGATGAAAGCCTGGAACCTCCCAAAAAACACTGATTGATAGAGAATGAAGCCAACACAGAGCAAATCAAAGCTGAGCGGTGGAGGAAGACTTGGTCCTTAGGGTACCATCTGCATCCTCAGACCCAGTCATGCCCGAATTTGCCACCCTGTACACTTCTTAGCCTGTCATGGAGTTTAAGGGGCACACCCACCTCCTGCTGGAGACGATGGGCACTCGCCAGCCCTTGATCTGATTGAGCTCGGTGTCTGAGACCTCTATCTGCAGCGGAAGTCGGGGCACCCACACCGTCACCTCTAGGGGGCTGCTCAGGTGCTGGTAGGTGAAGTTCACCATCACGTTCACCTTGCCTTTCATTTCCTTCCCATTGACAAAGACGTAGTCACATCTGTCAGAAACCTGTGAAGAGGTGAGAGAGAAAAGGGGAGGGGAAGGTGAGCTTTCATCCCATTGCATGGCCTGAGGAGGAGGAAAGGGAGGCACCCTGGCTGGTAGAGGTCACTTACTATGGGGAGGAGGTCCTAGTATGAAGCAGATATTGGCTGTTGCTTTTGAGTATAGCAGACGCTGTTATGATAGGTGCTCTCTGAGTACCCAGGCTTCCTGGGGTCCCTGTGGCTAGGTTGGTGGACTCCTCCCCAGGGGCTGCTTGTGTGTTGCCGACAGCTCCTGCCACATCTTCCATAGCAGACTGCCCTTAGGCGAGTGGAGCTGTGTCCCTCAGAGTTACCTGGGAGTTATGTCCTGCTCACCCCACTTCTCTGCCCAGTGACTACCTGGGAGGGTGAGAAGCCCAGGCTGTTTTGCCTCAAGAAGGGACCCACACACAGCACAGCTCATTCTTAAGAGCTGCTCAGGGAGCTGACTGTATTGCACCGGAAGCCGACCTTGCTTGGCCCCTCCTCTTCCGCTCTTACTCTTTTCACTCCCACGTGGGTGGATCCTGCGAACGTCCTCAACAGAGCATGCGCAGACCACTTTCCCCCGCAGGCACGGGGTGGATTCTGCAGAGTTCCCTAGAGGGGCTCCATGGGGTTCCACAGAAGTCGCTCACCAGGCGCGCCAGCTCAGTGATGCCCCTCCTGCTGCTTTTCCGAAATGTGTCCTGTCTTGCTGCTCATTCCCTCGTTCTGCATCCAGAGATCATTCCCCAAATAAACCGCCTACTCGGAAGGGCACATCACAGGTTCCGCTTTTCAGGGAATCCAAACGTGGATTCGTTTCATCCTCAGAACAACCACAGCGCTCGGCACCACTGCCGTTCTCACATTCCAGATGAGGAAGCCGGGAGCGGGGGAGCCTGCCTATGTTCCTCTGCCAGGAAGGGCAGAGCCAGGATTCAGCCCTGGGAGTCTGGCCCCAGAGCCCAGGCTCTCAACTTCTGCCTGGTGCAAGGTGGCTCCTCCATGCCAGCGCTGATGGGAAGAACCAAGTTCAATGGAAGGACTTTGTTCTCTTGTCTTGTCTCCTAGCTTTCCTGGGGGAAGGCAATGAGTCCTTTAGTTTTCATCCTAAACAAGAACTGAGACGTGTCTTTGGGGGAGTGTGGGAGCCTAAATCATAGCTCCCAAAGATATCCACATCCTCATCCTTGGAATCTGTAAACGTTATCTTACTCATCAAAAAGGACTTTGTGGGTGTGACCAAATTAAGCATCTTTTCCCCTCCCAGCTTTATTGGTAAATAAGTACTTGGCAGACAAAACTGCATCAATCTAGGGTGTACCACATGATGTTCTGATACACATGTATACTGTGAAATAATTACAAATCAAGTTAGCTCACACATCCATCACCTCACATAGTCACGTGTGTGTGTGTGTGTGTGTGTGTAAGATATTTCTTAAAATTTGTATATATTTAGGGGGTACACGTGGAGTTTTGTCACATGGATATATTGCACAGTGGTGAAATCCAGGCTTCTAGTGTAAACATCACCCAAATAATGTACACTGTACCCGTTAAGTAATTTCTCATTCCTCAACCCCTTCTAGCCTCCAACCCTTCTGAATATCCAGTGTCTATTATTCCACGCTCTTGTCCATGTGTCCACTGTATTTAGCTCCCACTTATAAGTGAGAACATGTGGTATTTGACTTTCTGCTTTTGAGTTGATTCACTTAAAATAATGACCTCTAGTTCCATTCATGTTGCTGCAAAAGAGGTGACTTCATTCTTCTTTATAACTGAAAAATATTTTATTCCATGTAAATATATCGTATATTCATATATTGTATATATAGTATATTGCATATTGTATTATATATACACAATATAATACACAACATATAATATATAATATGTAATACAAAATTGTATTATATACAAAATTACTGTATTATATATACAATATATAGTATGTTTATATATAGTATTATATACATTGTATATAAATGTGAATTATATATTTATGTACATTGTATATAAATGTTATGAAAATGTAGTGTGTGTCTAAATTATGAGTGCAGGTGTTTTCTCAATGTACTGATCTTTTTTCCTTTGGGTAGATACTGGTAGTGGTATTGCTGTAGAGAATTTTAGTTCCTTGAGAATTCTCCATACTGTTTTCCATAATTAATTTTCCATACTATGTTATATTCCCATCAATAGTGTGTAAGTGTGAGAACATGGAAGACCCACTGCCTTTGCAAATCCTAAGTCTACCATACGGTATTATTAACTAGAGTAGTCACACTATACATTAGGACCCCATCATGTATTCACCAGCATAACTGAAACTTTCTGTCCTTTGACCAACCTCTCTCCATTTCCCCCATTTCCCAGCTCCTGGAAACCCCCATTCGACTCTGTTTCTATGAGTTGGGCTTTTCCCCACATATAAGCAATATCATGCAGGATCTGCCCTTCTGTGTCCGTTCTAATTCACTTAGCATCATGTCCTCCAGGTTCATCCACGTTGTTGCAAATGCTAAGATTGTCTTCTATTTTAAGGCTGAATAGTATTCCACCGTGTAGAGACACCACATTTGCTTTATCCGTTCATTCACTGAGAGACATTTAGGTTGTTTCCATGTCTTGGCTGTTACCAGTATTTAAATTAAGGGTCTTGAGATAGGGAGAGCATCCTAGATTACTTGGGTGGGCCCTAAATGGAGCTGACTGTGCTTATAAGAGGGAGGCAGGGAGAGATTTGACTGCAGTGGGAGAAGCAGGTCCTGTGACCACAGAAACAAGACCCTGGAAGATGGAGGCAGAGACCAAGGAAGGAAGGAGGCAGCTCTGGGGGCTGGAAAATGCAAGGAAGCATGTTCCCCACTAGAACCTCCGGAGGGAGGGCAGCCCTACCAACACCTTGATGTTGGCCCAGTGAAGCTGATTTCAGACTTTCGACCTTCAGAACTGGAAGAGAATACATGGGTGTCCATTGTCTCACAGAAGCTGCTGGGTTTGTGGTGTGATGATTTGTTATCACAGCTGCAGAAAACGAATTCCCGGAGGGAGTGGAGGACACACCCCAGAGCCCTGGATAATCCTCCCTGACTGGGGTGTCCTCCCGACCGGGGCGTCTTCCCTGACTGGGGTGTCCTCCCGACCGGGGCGTCTTCCCTGACCGGGGTGTCCTCCCTGACCGGGGCGTCTTCTCTGACCGGGGTGTCCTTTCTGACCGGGGCGTCCTCCCTGACCGGGGTGTCCTCCCTGACCGGGGTGTCCTGACCGGGGCGTCTTCTCTGACCAGGGCGTCCTCCCTGACCGGGGCATCTTCCCTGACCGGGGCGTCCTCCCTGACCCGGGCGTCCTCCCTGACCGGGGCGTCTTCCCTGACCGGGGCGTCCTCCCTGACCGGGGCGTCCTCCCTGACCGGGGCGTCTTCCCTGACCGGGGCGTTCTCCCTGACCGGGGCGTCCTCCCTGACCGGGGTGTCCTGACCCGGGTGTCCTCCCTTACCGGGGCGTCCTCTCTGATCGGGGCATCCTCCCTGACGGGGGCGTCCTCCCTGACCGGGGTGTCCTCCCTGACCGGGGCGTCTTCCCTGACTGGGGTGTCCTCTCTGACCGGGGCATCTTCCCTGACCGGGGTGTCCTCCCTGACCGGGGTGTCCTCCCTGACCCGGGTGTCCTGACCGGGGTGTCCTCCCTGACTGGGGCATCTTCCCTGACCGGGGCGTCCTCCCTGACCAAGGCATCCTCCCTGACCGGGGCGTCCTCCCTGACCGGGGTGTCCTCCCTGACCGGGGTGTCCTCTCTGATAGGGGCGTCCTCCCTGACCGGGGCATCTTCCCTGACCGGGGCGTCCTCCCTGACCAAGGCATCCTCCCTGACCGGGGTGTCCTCCCTGACCGGGGCGTCCTCCCTGACCAAGGCATCCTCCCTGACCGGGGTGTCCTCCCTGACCAGGGTGTCCTGACCAGGGTGTCCTCCCTGACCGGGGCGTCTTCCCTGACCGGGGCGTCCTCCCTGACCGGGGTGTCCTCCCTGACCGGGGTGTCCTGACCGGGGTGTCCTCCCTGACCGGGGCGTCTTCTCTGACCGGGGTGTCCTTTCTGACCGGGGCGTCCTCCCTGACCGGGGTGTCCTCCCTGACCCGGGCGTCCTCTCTGACTGGGGCATCCTCCCTGACCGGGGTGTCCTGACCGGGGTGTCCTCCCTTACCGGGGCGTCCTCTCTGATCGGGGCATCCTCCCTGACCGGGGCGTCCTCCCTGACCGGGATGTCCTCCCTGACCGGGGCGTCCTCCCTGACCGGGGCGTCTTCCCTGACCGGGGCGTCCTCCCTGACCGGGGTGTCTTCCCTGACCGGGGCGTCCTCCCTGACCGGGGCGTCTTCCCTGACCGGGGCGTCCTCCCTGACCGGGGCGTCTTCCCTGACCGGGGCGTCCTCCCTGACCGGGGCGTCCTCCCTGACCGGGGTGTCCTCTCTGATAGGGGTGTCCTCCCTGACCGGGGCGTCCTCCCTGACCAAGGCATCCTCCCTGACCGGGGTGTCCTCCCTGACCAGGGCGTCTTCCCTGACCGGGTGTCCTCCCTGACCGGGGTGTCCTCCCTGACCCGGGTGTCCTGACCGGGGTGTCCTCCCTGACCGGGGCATCTTCCCTGACCGGGGCGTCCTCCCTGACCAAGGCATCCTCCCTGACCGGGGCGTCCTCCCTGACTGGGGCATCCTCCCTGACCGGGGTGTCCTCTCTGATAGGGGTGTCCTCCCTGACCGGGGCATCCTCCCTGACCAAGGCATCCTCCCTGACCGGGGTGTCCTCCCTGACCAGGGCGTCTTCCCTGACCAGGGTGTCCTTTCTGACCGGGGCGTCCTCCCTGACCCGGGTGTCTTCCCTGACCGGGGCGTCCTCCCTGACCCGGGCGTCCTCCCTGACCCGGGCATCCTCTCTGACTGGGGCGTCTTCCCTGACCGGGGCGTCCTCCCTGACCGGGGCGTCCTCCCTGACCGG